CCAACATGTCTGGTACGCGAACCATGAGAACCAGGAAAACGCATGCAAATTCAAAAAACGAATGCGCGCGGCGCTAAATCGAGAGACACAGATTGACAACCACCCGCCCCAAATATGCGAAACTCTTGTAATGTTTGATAAAAATGCGCGCGGAGCTGGGGCGAGAGCCGCAATTTGAACATGACCCGCCCTTAATCCGTGAAGATCTTGCAAAAGTGTACAGCAAATGTGCACGGCGCGAAAGCGGAAACAACATTTTGAAAACGAGCCGCCCTCAATCCGTGAAATTCTTACACATGTTCAAAACGAATGTGCGCGGCGCTTATGCGAGAACCACGCTTTGAAAACCATCCGCGCCGAATCCGCGAAGCTCTTCCAACTGTTAGAAGAAATGCGCGGCGCTAAAGCGAGAGCTACATGTTGAAAGCCACCCACCCTCAGACCGAGTCCGCGAAGCTCTGGCAACTGTGCTGTGCTAAACGAATGTGCGCGGCGCTGAACGAAGAGCCACAGTTTGAAAGCAACCCGCCCTCAATCCGTGAATCTCTTGCAAAAGTGTAGAACGAATGTGCGCGTCGCTTATGCGAGAGCCACAGTTTGAAAACGGCCCGCCCTCAATGCGTGAAGCTCTTACACACGCTTACAGCGAATGCGCGCGGCGCAATGGCGAGACCAACATTTTGAAAGCCACCTGCCCTCCATCAACGAAGCTGCTCTCAACGTCTAGGCACCAGGGTCCTACATGTCGAAGAGGCCTCAGGCGAAACGCCCGGCCTGCCCTTTGGACCGGGTTCGGGTTGCGACAGGGAGGGTTTGTTTATGAGGAAAAAGAATGCAGGAGGAGGAGAAGGAGGAGGGGAAGGAGGAGAAGGAGAAGGGGGAGGAGGTGAAGAAGGAGGAGGAGAAGGGGAAAGAAGACAAGGACAAGGAGCAGCAGGAGAAGGAGCAGGAGAAGGAGCAGGAGAACGACGAGGAGGAGGAGGAGGAGAACCAAAGCGAAGAGGAGGAAGAGGAGGAGGAGGAGGAGAAGGACGCGGAGGAGGAGGAGGAGGAGGAGGAGGAGGAGGAGGAGAAGAATGAGAGCGAGGAGGAGGAGGAGGGGGAGGAGGAGGAGGAGGAGGAGGAGGAGGAGGAGGAGGAGGAGGAGGAGAAGGAGGAGGAGGAGGCACTGAGTTCAGGCGGGGTGGGCGGGCCGCGCCTTGAGCCCCCTCTGGGTGCGCGGGGGCCTCGGGCGCCCCAGCGAGGGCGCCCCGTGGACGCGCCGCGAGACTGCACTCGAGGCCCGCGTCAGGCAGCCAGCCACTGCAGCAGGAGAGGGAGAAGAACGCCGGCGGAGGATACGGCGAACGTGATGCCATGATGCGAGTGGCTCAGGGTGCGCTCCAGGACTTCGGGGGCAGCTGGAGGCCCCCTTGTGTCTGCAGCCCGTGTGGAAATTTCGGAAAGCCAGAACCTCCTGCGCATCTGGAAGGACATCCTCCTGACGCCCTGTCGCTCCGAGAAACTGGGGGAAAGGCAGAGAAGCTAGAAGTAGAGAAGGTGGAGCGTGTCACGAAGAGGCACGCGAGGGCATCGGAGCGAGGCGGAGGCGGAGAGGCGAAAGCAGACCAGCGAGTCCAGTTCCCCTTTCGCCAGAATGGCACGCGTTGGTCGAGAAGTGCCCGCTGCTGTGCGTTCTGTCTGGCCCATCCTGCTGTAAATCACCGTCTCCTTACCAGATGCTTGCCTCCCAGTCCTCCCCCTCAACCTCCTCCTCATCCTTCGTCTCCTCCGTCTCGTTCTCATCAGTATCGCCGCGGCTGACGCCATCATCATCATCATCATCATCATCATCATCATCATCATCATCATCATCATCATCATCATCATCATCATCATCATCATCATGATCATCATCATCATCATCAGCATCATCAGCATCATCATCATCAGCATCATCATCGTCACCATCATCATCATGATCATCAGCATTATCCCCATCGGCATCATCAGCCTTATCACCCGTACCAGCATCAACGGCATCATCGTCAGCAACATCATCATCAACAACATCATCGTTATCACCATTATCACCATCATCATCATCATCATCATCACCATCATCAGCATCACCAGCATCATCATCATCATCATCGTCATCATCATCGACATCGAAGTCGTCATCATCAGCATTGGCTTCGTGATCGTCGTCAGCATCGTCCTTATCAGCATCGTCACCACTTTCATCACCACCATCAGCATCATCATCTTCACTATCATCACCATCGACATCTGCATCTGCATATGCATCATCACCATCGTCTTCGCCACCAGCATTACCATCATCATCAACATCAAGATGAGCAGCATCAACGTCACCATCATCATCAGCATCAGCATCGTCAGCAGCAGCATCATCATCATCAGCAGCATCATCAGCATCATCAGCATCAAAATTATCATCATCAGCAGCAGAAGCATCCTCATCACCATGATCACCATGATCATCAGCATTATCCCCATCGGCATCAACAGTCTTATCACCCGTACCAGCATCAACGGCATCCGCATCAGCAACATCAGCATCAACAGCATCATCATTATCACAAGTATCATCATCGTCATCATCATCATCATTATCAGCATCATCAGCCTCATCACCATCATCGTCATCACCATCATCGAAATCGAAATCGTCATCATCCGCATCGCCTTCGTGATCGTCGTCATCATCCTCCTTATCAGCATCGTCACCACTTTTATCACCACCGTCAGCATCATCTTCACCATCATCACCATCGGCATCTGCATCTGCATCTGCATCATCACCATCGTCTTCGCCATCATCATTACCATCATCATCAACATCAAGATGAGCAGCAGTAACGTCACCATCACCATCATCATCAGCATCAGCATCTTCAGCATCACCATCATCATCATCATCAGCAGCAGCAGCAGCAGCATCAACGTCGTCATCACCATCATCATCATCATCATCATCATAACCAGCATGATCGTCATCAGTAGCAGCAGCATCAGCAGCACCATCGTCATCATCACAGACATCCGCATACATCATCAGCAGCAGCGTCATCATGGTCATCATCAGCATCATCAGCAGCAGCATCATCACCGTCAGCATCGCCATCGTAATCGCCATCATATTTGCCAGCAGCATCCTCATCATATGCCTCGTCAGCATCATCAGCAGCATCATCGGCGGCATCAGTATCACCACGACTCGCCATTGTCATTACTAACATCAGGACCGTTCTCATCAGCAGCAGCATCACTCTCATCATCATCATCAGCAACAACATCATCATCATCATCATCATCATCATCATCGTCATCACCAGCAGCAATGCCATCATCGTCATCATCATCATCATCATCGTCATCATGATCATCAGCCTCATCAACAACATCGTCATCGTCGTCATCGTCATCACCACATCCAACACCGTCGTCGTCCGTAGCATCATCAGCAACAGCATCATCAGCAGCAGCATCAGCCGCGCCACCACCATCATCAACAACACCAACATCATCATCAGCAGCACCGTCATTAGCATCACTATCATCATCAGCAACATCATCAGCATCAGCAGCAGCAGCATCCTTACCATTATCAGCATCAGCAGCAGCACCATCATCAGCAGCAGCATCAGCATCATCAGCATCACCATCATCATCGACATCACCGTCTTCGTCATCATCATTCCCCTGTTAATCCTGCCTCTTCGCACCTCCACGTCCTCCTCCTGCCTCCTCGTCTTCCTCCTCCTCCTCTTCTTCCCTCCCCTCCCCACCTCCTCCTCCCACTCGCCATCATCCGAAATATGCGTCATCTTGCATATTGTTCCGTTGCGCTTATCCTTCTTTTCTTGCCCACTGCTCCTCCGACTCCTTCCCCTGCTCCTTCTGCGCCTCCCTGTTCAACTGCCACCCCCGTTCCTCCCAACAGCCTCATCATGCATGCCATCATCCTGGCTTTCCGTTCCTGATCCTCGTCAACTACTACCCCGATTCCTCCACCGCATACGCATCCTCAACTTACTCCTCCTCCCCCTCCTGTGCAACACCTCTCCTCCTCGTCCTTCGGCGTACTCCCCCTCCCTTCGCCCGTCAAGGCATGCCTCCTCGTTGGTGGTGTCGGGCAGGGAGCCGACGAAGATCTTCGGGCCGACGGGGCCCTGAGGGGTCGCACGGAAACTGGCTCCGTCGCGTCCCGTGCCTCGCTAGGCCCAAGAGGCAGGAGGAGGCAGGAGAAAGGAGGAAGGAGGGGAGGCAGGAGGAGGCAGGAGGGGGCAGAAGGGATGAGGAAGACGGCGGCGGCGACTGCGACGGCGGCGCCGCAGACAAGGACGAGAAGCTTGCCTCGATGCGCTGCTTCTTCTCGGCCTCCGCCCCAGCCTTGCAATCCAGGAAGGCGCCCTCGAAGGAGAGGGCCTGGGGGGCAGGGGAGGCCGTTCCTTTGGAGGGACGGAGAGGGCCCCGGGAGAAGGAGGAGGCGCGGGAGGAGGCGGAGGAGGGGGCGGGGGACGAAGCGGAGGAGGAGGAGGAGGAGGAGGAGGCGGAGGAGGAGGAGGAGGAGGAGGGGGGAGGAGGAGTGAGGGGGAGTCAGGAGAGGAGGGAGGAGGGAGGGGGAGGAGAGAGGAGGGGAGGAGGAGGTAGGAGGGGGGGTAGGAGGAGGAGGAGGAGGAGGAGGAGGAGGAAGAGGAGGAGGAGGGAGGAGGAGGCGGAGGGGGGGGGGTAAGGAGGAGGAGGAGGAGGAGGAGGAGGAGGCGGAGGAGGGGGGAAGGCGGAGGTGGAGGCGGAGGCAGGGAGGCGGAGGAGGCCGCTCCTGTCTTCTCCCCGCCTCTGCACCAACTGCTGCTCCCCAGGCCTTTCGGACTCTCTCCTCCTCCCTTGTCACTATCAGCCTCCTCCTCATACCGCCGCCTCCTCCTCCTCGCCTTCCTCCTCCTCCTCCTCCTCCTGCTCCTCCTCCTCCTCCTCCTTCTCCTCCCCGCTTTACCGCTGCTGCCCAGCCTCTCGGCCACCCTGGACGGCATGGCTCGGGGCGGCCGAAGGCTGCAGGGTCACGGCGCGGCGGCGCTGCCGCCAGCGCCAGGGGGGAACGGGGAGCACCAGGGATCTCGAGGTCCGAGGAGCCAGGGCGCCCGTCGAGGATCGAGAGGATTTTGCGGCTCGAGGCTTCAATGTTCGAGGGTCAGAGATGTTTTGCGGTTCTACATGGCTCTTGGGGGCCTCCGGAGGGATGAGGGGGACTCCAGGAGGAGGAGGAGGAGGAGGAGGAGGAGGAGGAGGAGGAGGAGGAGGATCAAGGATTGAGGCTCGAGGTCCCAAGCTTTTGAACACGCTTGGCTTCGTTCATGCGTCCAGGGGCCTCTGGGGCCCCATGGGGACCTCCGCTTCGCAGGCCTCCGAGATGAGGGGCAGAAGAGGGGACGGTGGAGGGAGAGGAGGGGAAGGGGGAGGGGCAGGACGTACGAGGCGGATGGAGGGGGTCGTCACCCTCCTGCCCCTAGGTGCTTGGCGACTTCTCACCAATCGACTTGCGGGGGTCAAGCCGGAAAAGAACCGACGTAAACCCCAATACATCGAGGTACGTCAAGATCAATCCAGGCAAATCCACAGAGATCCAGGGAAATCTGGAGCAGCAAGGCGTAGGCGCTCCAGCGCGAGTCGAGGGACAGCATAAGTCGTTAGGCCGTGACGATCATGTGTTCCAGTGTTCGTGCTGACGCTGCTGCTCCTCTCCCTGTTACTACATGCAACCGCCGCTCCCCCTGAACCTGCTCGTCCTCGTCTAAGTGTGACTTGCACCCGCTCACGTATTGGTAGTCTGACCTATGTTCGCAAACATTTCCTCCTACGCCTCCTTAGCAAAAACAGCAGCATCAGCATCGTCATCATCATCAACATCACCACCATCACCATCCTCTCTCCTCACCATCCTCGTCGCCACCACGGCCACCATCATCATACTCATTATCATACTGCGACTACTAAGCCGCATCATCATCAGCATCATCAGAAACAGCATCGTCAGCATGATCACGATCATGGGCATGATGAAAATCATGATCATGATAGACAACATCATCATCATCATCAGCAACATCACCGTCATAACCATCATACTAGTAAACAGTACAATCAACATCATTAGCATCACCGTCATCATCAGCATCATCGCCGTAGTCAAAATCAAAGTCAAAGTCATCATCATCGCCAGCGTCATTGTCGCCATCGCCATCACCATCGCCACCGCCACCACCATCGCCGTCGGCACCATCAGCATCAGCAGAATCATCGCCAGCATCATCATCACATGACCATGACCATCACTACCAGCAGCATCCCCAGCATAATGATCATCAGCGTCGTCGTCGGAGTCGTCGCCATCATCAGCAGCATCATCATCAGCAGAGTCAGCATCATCACCATCATCATCCTCAGCACCACCATCATCATGATGGGCAGCATCATCAGAATCCGTATAGTCACCATCCTCATCAGCAGCAGCATCCGCATCATCCGAATCATCAGCATCCCCATCGCCATCATCATCCTCATCATCCGCATCAGCAGCATCCTCATCATACTCATCCACGTAATTGTGATCATCATCATCATCAGAATCAGCATCATCAGCATCATCACCATCGCCATCATTATCATCATATGTGCCACCAGCCCCACTCCCATCTTGTCAACACTGGTATCATCAGCATCCTCGGCATCATCATGATCTTCATCATCCTCATCCACATCCTCAACAACCACAGGTCGCATCCTCCTCATCCTCCTCATCAGCATCATCAGACGACACGCATCCGTCTCATCATCATCCGCATAATCGTTATCAGCATCATCATCAGCGTCATCCCATCAGCATCAGCAGCATCAGTAGCATCATCGTCAGCATTATCAGCATCACCAGCCGCAGCATCCACGACACCCTCATCATCCTCATCCTCATGCTCAGCATCAGCATCATCATTATCATCAGCATCACCATCCTTACCAACATCACCCTTACCATCATCAATCGGCCACCGTGCATTGTGCACGCTGAGGCAAGGAAGAATGCGAAGGGCTGCTTGGCAAGGTGTGTGTATTCTCTTTGGGGGATCGTCCCGCTCCCCATGCCAGCATCTACCTGCATACGTCGCCCTCCCTTCCGAGGCCACCATCCTCAATGAAAGGCGGTGGAGCAACACCCGGGGGGCCACTGTCCCCCCCCCCCCGCCGTTACAAACTATTGGCATGCGCCCTGAGCTTCCAAGAGTGGCCATGCAAGCACCCAAAGACACCAAGATGGCCCAATGTGCATCGAAACCTGCCCACGATGGGCCCAAGGCGGCCGAAGGTGGTTCCAAGACGGCCCAAGATGCCTCTAAGACGGCCCAAAGGGCCACAAGGGGACCTCCAACAGGGTCCGACGAGGCCACTGTCCTTGATTGACAGTGGATGTTTCATTTCTGTTCGCATTCTCGCATGTTCGGGCTTCCATCAGCTCGAGATGGCCCAAGAAGCTTCCACGATGGCCCCAAAAACTGCCCAAGAGACCCCCAAGAGGGCACCGAATTGGACCAAGAGGGCCCCGCGATGGCCCAAGAGGCACACGTGGGTCTCTCGTGGGACCGAAAACTGCCTTAGAGGGCACTTCGACTGCCTAAGACGGCGCCAAAGCGACCTCAGCACTGCCCCCAGACACCCACCATACGGCTCAGAAGGCCCCAAGACGGCCCAGGAGAGCCCCAGGGAGTCCCAAGAACCCAACGGACTCCCAAGACTGCGGCACGGGAAGCTAAGACGGCCCCAAGATGGCCCAGGCGAATTCCATGAGAGCTCCGCAAGTAGTGAAGACGAAAGGTGTCACATGTGACGGCCGACCGTTGCCTCCTCCTTCTCCTCATCCTCCACCTCCTCCTCGTCGTCATCGTCGTCATCAGCATCATCTTCATCAGCATCATCATCAGCAGCAGCATCATCAGCATCATCATCATCAGCACCAATATCAGCATCATCAGCATCATCCTCATCGTCATCACCATTCCAGTCACATCGCCACATCATCGTCGTCACCATCATCATCCTCGTCAGCATCAGCATCATCAGCATCAGCATCATCATCACCATCATCATCGTTATCAGCAGCATCATCATCATCATCATCATCATCAGCAGCATCCGTATCATCATCACCACCATCAGCAGCATCATCAGCATCAGCATCAGCATCAGCACAAGCATCAGCACCACCAGCATCATCAGCATCGTAATCATCGTCACCAGCATCATCACCAGCATCGTCATCATCATTATCAGCACCATCATCATCAATGTATTGATCATCGTCTTCAGCATCAGCATCATCGTCATAATCCTAATTAACATCGCCATCATCAGCCAGCACCATCATCATCATCACCATGATCATCATCACCAGCAGCATCGGCATCATCAGCATCGTCACCGTCATTACCACCATAATATGCATGATCATCATCATCAGCAGCATCAGCATCAATATCATCCTCATCATCCTCATCATCCTCATCATCCTCATCATCATCGCCATCAGTCTCATAATCCTTATCAGCATCACCATCATCCTTCTCCTGCTTATCATCATCATCATCAGCATCATCATCATCATCATCACCATCATCATCATCATTATCGCCACCATCGTCATTATCATCAGCAGCGGTATGGTCATCATCCCCATTATCCTCATAATCCTCATCGTCCTCATCACAGCTCTTCCAAGCCTGGAGACGCTAAGTGTCACACGCGAGTGCACCCTGTTTCCCATTGAGCAGTCGCCGCCACAGATGTTGGGCTGGCACGGTGGCGGGAATTGCCGCAGACAGCTGGACATCATCATCATCACCACAGCCATCACCATCACCATCACGATTGCCATCAACATCATGATCAGCATGATCAACATTACCAGCAACGTCATCATCGTCATCCTCCTAATCATCCTCCACCCTTGGCCACACGAGGAGCCTGGAAGAAACCGTCCTGGTAGTTGGACAGCACAGCTTGCGCAGCGTACTCTTCCTCAGGCCGGCGCAAGGAGGGGAGGAAGGAGGATGACGACAGAAACGAGGAGCACGAGAGGAAGAACAGGGACCACCTGCTTGCGAGCTGCAGGAGGAGGAGGAGGAGGAGGAGGAGGAGGAGGAGAGACACAGGAGAAGGGACTTGCCTCAGCACCGCTCATTTAGTCTCACGTCCCTGCGTTTTGCGGGCTGGCTGGGCCTCTAGCGGGCTGGTCCGTGGTGGCCTGGCGGATGCGCGAAGCACCCCGGAGTCACGCGCTCATATTCGGCAAGCTGTGCAGTGCCACTGCTTCAGCTGCGATACTAGACGAAGAACAGTGTGCATGAGCAACAACTTGCGAAGGTCTGCGCAGATTTCTCAGATCGGCGCGGGGCCCCTCTGGCGGCGCCTCCAGCGACGATCCAGAAATCTGCGCGGACCTCCGAAAGTCCATGTTTATGCCGTATTTATTCCTCGAGTTACAACTGGAAGATGGGCGCCTGCATGGACAGCCTCCGTTGGCATCATACTGCCGCCCACAATCCACAATCCAGCGATTTTTATAACCTGCGGCCGCGTGCTCTGCGCGGTTCAACCAGCTTTTCAGCTACAGCTGCCCGTGGTGGTGCAGACGCGCTGCAGACCGCTTGCCGGGTCCAGAGTTTCAGCAGCGGCCCTTTCTGGGCCTTCCCGATGGGCCTTTGGATCGCTCTGCCTGGTGCCAGTCGTTTGGTCGATGCCCAGGTTGCGCGTGGAGTTCGGCGGCGTGGTGAACAGGCTCGCTGTGCTCCCAAAACTTCGCGGGTGGACATCGTCTGGTTCTTGTGCGACACAGCGCTGCCGACAGGGGTGATGTCGAGGAGATCCGGATCCAAAAGTTGCAACCGCACATCGCCCGCCAGGACCTCGAGGCTGGCCATGTCGGGGCCCGTGGGCAGGTAGGCAGTCATCTGGTCGATAGTCACGCTGGGCAGGCTGCTGCGTAACGGTCGTGGCCACATGCTGCGTACTTCTTCGCAGTCAACTCGTTGACGTGAAAGCCCTCACGACGCGGGTCGACGTCTGCGGCTCCCTCGAAGATGGGGCCCCCGCCTGCAAGGCGCGCCCACAAGCCGCTGGTCTTTCAAAGAGGCGCTCGCCGCAGCGGCATGTAAAGCACTTCGTCGCTTCTGAGGAAGGCACTCGGGGCGGGAGGGTATGTTGCAGCATCGCTGAAGCATATGATGTCTTACTCAGGTCCTCCTCCTCCTCCTCCTCCTCCTCTTCCTCCTCCTCCTCCTCCTCCGCCTCTTCTTCCTCCTCCTCCGCCGCCTCCGCCCGCCGAGAGGAGAGGAGGGCGAAAGACCCAGAAGACGGGATCTCTCTGTCGTGTCCTTCCCTGCGTCCAGAGCCGCGGAGCCACGGGGCAGAGGAGCGCACCGCAGACCCGGCGAGCCCAGCATCATCGCACGCAGGCGGGGAGCCTTCCATCGACCTCCTGCGGGGACAGCAGGCGCAGACCGCCGATGAAGACGAAGCCGGGACGAGGATACCATCTCTGAGATCCCGCGGCTCTGGAAGATGCATCGGGCGCCGCGGCCTTCTCAAAGCGTTCCGGAACGCTCTGAGAGCGTTCCGGAACGCGTGAGCAGTCCGTCGATTGGCGCCAGTGCGAATGGCTCATTGCTGGGCTTGTAGCGGCGGTATGGGTTGGAGGTGCACTTCCATGTCCTCGAGGTTGCCGTCGAGTTCAGAGTGAGCATGTGTGACCCACATTGTCGCAATATCCGGATATCCAGATATCCGAAGCTCCTCCTTCTCCTCCTCCTTCTCCTCCTCCTCCTCCTCCACCTGCTCCTCCTCCTCCTTCTCCTCCTCCTACTGCTCCTCCTCCTCCTCCTCTTGCTGCTCCTCCTCCTCCTCCTCCTCCTGCTGCTGCTCCTCCTCAATCTCATCATCCTATTGCTCCTGCAGGGCGTACAAGCCATGCATTGGGAGCTGTGGCCAAATCTGCCTCACGCCAACCCGTCTTCTGTCCTGCCGGCGGGTGGGTAAAGCTTCCCGCTGCTGCCCTGGGTGGTCTCGCAATTCTCCAAAGGGTGTGCTTGCAGTTGTCCCGCGCATGTCTCAAAACTTCCTCCTGCTGCTGCTGCTGCCACTCCTCCTCCCGTTCGTCCTCCTCCTCCTCCTCCTCCCTCTCCTCCTCCTGGTCCTGCTCCTCCTCTCTCCTCCTCCCCCTCCTCCTCCTCTTCTCCTCCTCCTCCTCCTCCTCCCTCCTCCTCCTCCTCCTCCTCCTCCTTCCCCCTCCTTCCCTCCCTCCCCTCCCCCCCCCTCTCCTCCCATCCATCCATCCATCTCTCCTCCCTCCCTCACTTCCCCCCTCCCTCCCTCCCTCCTTCCCCCCCTCCCTCCCGCCCTCCTGTTGGCTATCATTTGCGTGTTAGTCTTCGTCGTGGCTCCCCCCCTCCTTCCTCCTCCTCCTCCTCCTCCTCCTCCTCCTCCTCCTCCTCCCGCCTCCTCCTCCCTCCTCCTCCTCCTCTCTCCTCCCTCCCCCTCCTCCTCCCCCCCTGCTCCTGCTCTTGCTCCTCCTCCCTCTCCTCCTCCTCCTCCTCTCCTCCTCCTCCTCCTCCTCCTCCTCATCCTCATGCTCCTGTTCCTTCTCCTCCTCCTCCTCCTCCTCCTCCTCCTCCTCCTCCTCCTCCTCCTCCTCCTCTCGCTGATGCCCTTGGACGCTCGGCATCGACCGTCACTGCCCCTGCGGCCTCGAAGTGCACCCACGCGGTGCCCTTGAAGACGCCCTCCTCGCTCTCCATGGTGATCTGCCCGAGCGGGAGGAGGAAGCGGAAGAGGAAGCGGAGGAGGAGGCAGGGAGGAGGAAGAGGAGGAGGAAGAGGAGGAGGACCAGTGTAAACCCAAGAGTCATCAACGATGTATGAGTAGACCCTCCCTCCAATCTCCCTCTTCAAAGGACCCTACAACGGTTCATTTCGATTGATGGGACTGGAGGCAACTTCTGGGAGGTCTTCGTGAGAACGCTTGAGGGCTAAAAGGCCCGATCAAGGAGCAATGACGACAGAGTTGGGCTGGATTGAGCCAGGGATTGAGCTTGATTTAGCGGGGTAAGGCTGGATTACGCGGAATCATGCGGCATCATGTCGGACTAGGCCATCTTCGACCACGAATGTACCAGCGCCGACGCTGAACTTAACCTCCCAGGAGTTGCATCCTAAAGGCAGAGACAAGGAGGGGGGAGGAGGAGGATTTCGAGGACCTGCGGAGGCTGTCAGCGGTGGTCAGATTCTCGGAGGTGTCTGGGAGATCCCAGAGGAGGGCTGGACTTGATGGACTCCCGCCAACCCCTCTGGGCGTCTGTGGCTTAGCGACCCAACTTGACCGAACCCCCTTTCTTCCGCCTCGTGGAGGGGCCTACCCCGCCCCATCCCATGCGCTGGAAGACTCCCCCCCCCCCCCTAGCGAAGCCTCGTTTGGGCATGATGGGCCCCCCGTGCGAGCCTGATAATGACCTCTCGGGGCCTCCTGGAGAGGCCTCTCGGAGAGGCCTCGTGGTGCCGTGTTGGCCTCAGCGATGCCGAGGCTCGGAGCAGTTGTGGGGCCTCGTGGGGCTCCCTTGGGCCGCAAGCCTTCGGGGGGCGAACTGGCGAGAGGGGCAAACGTACGCGCTGTCCGTCAGTTGCTTGGGGCAGCGAATGCTGTGCCGAAACATGCGTCTGCCTAAAAGCGGGGGCATCGCCACATGGCGCCGTTCGTATCTGCTGGATGTCTTCCCGCCGCTTGAGGGCACAAGGCCGACCCCCGCCCGTGTTGACTCTAGCCTTCGGGGCCACACCAACGTCTGGCACGTATCCTTCAGAATGGTTTGCCACACCGCGGTATCTGAACCTCCTCCCCGTCCTTCTCCCGTTCCTCCTCCTCCCCCTCCTCCTCCTCCTCCTCCTCCTACTCCTCCTCCCCCTGTTTCCTCCGTCTTGCAGTCTTGCCTCCGCAACTCATTCCCTATCCCGATCCCATTCCCACGTTCCTCCCCCTCCTCCTCCTCCTCCTCCTCCTCCTCCTCCTCCTATCCCTCCCTCCCTCCTCCTCATCCCCATCCTCCTCCTCCTCCTCATCCTCATCCTCCTCATCCTCCTCATCATCCTCATCATCATCATCATCATCAGCAGCATCATCAGCATCAGCATCAGCATCAGCATCAGCATCAGCATCAGCATCAGCATCAGCATCAGCATCATCAGCATCATCATCATCATCATCATCATCATCATCGTCCTGCTCCTCCTCCTCCTCCTCTTCCTCCTCCTCCCCATGGCCCTCAGGTTTCGCCAAATGCTTTCGCCACCTCCTACACCTCGCTCCTCCTCGCTCCTCGTTCCTCGTTCCGTCTCCTTCCCCGTCCCGTCTCCTTAGAACTAATTCCTCCCTTTCGCGCCCCCAGGCGTGTCTGCAACGGGCAAGGCGTTCCGCCTGAGATTTCGTCGCCACGTGTGATCCTGAAGCGTGGAAATTGAATCAGCTGCACATGGATGGGGGGGGTCAACTTGTGGCTCTGGCCCTGGCGCCGCGCACATTTGCCGCAAAAGGCTGCAACAGCGTCATAGTTGGACGGGGTAGCTTTCAAACTTTGGCTGGCACCATAGCGCCGCGCAACGTCGCCTCGAAAATTCGCATCAACTTTTGGGATGCAGGGCGTTCTTTACAGCGTAGCTCCCTTACAACTACCATTTCGAAGTCTGCACCTATCTCATGGGGGTAAGGGGGATAGGTTTCAAGAGGTGGCTCTCGCCTGGTCGCCGCGCAGTCGAATTCAAAGTTTGCAGCGCTTGCTGGGATGGAATGGGACTGGTGTTCAAAATGATGTTTTCGCACTTGCGCCGCGCACATGCGATTGAAACAAGTGCCACAGGAATGGAAGGGGGTGTTCCATATGTGGACATTCGTTTTGGAAGTCTGCAGCAAATTCAAGGGTGGAAGGGAAGGTGTTTTCAAAATATGGCTCTCGCCTTGCCGCCACAACCATTCGTCTCAAAACTGTGCAATAGCTTCACGGGTGGGGTTTAAAGTGTGGCTCTCGCACTAGATCCGCGCACAGTCATCATCAAATCTCATCACAGCTTCAAACAATCAGCACTTGTCATTCTCCAGGTGGGGCTAGCGCCTGAGCGCCAGGCGAATTCGCGCTGTAACGCAACGTTTAGCAAGATGGAGACTACCCTTTTTCAACATGGACTTATGGCCGAGGACTTCGCTGAGTTTGGCGCGGAATTTCAACGCACGCAGCGCTGCACGGATTCATGGCGGCTCTTTTCCAAAATGGAGCTATGGCTTGACGACTTCCTCGAATTCCATGACCACCAGTGAAATTTGTGGAACAGTGACACGGACCGGGGTGGTGGTCCTCCTTCGAGAGGGGGATATTGCCTCCTTTGAAAGTTCGAGGGGTGGTGGTCCTCCTCCCTCCTCCTACAGCTCAGCGGTGACACCCCGCTGAACTGTATGACCCTCGTCTTCCGCGTTCCTGGTGGCGCGCAAAACCGAGATGCGGGGCGACACGTCCTCTCACAGAGCTGTGCCCTCGCCAACAAAATGGTGTGGTGTGGTGGGGCCTCTAAAGGCTGGAAAAAAGGACCAAAGAGGTCCGAGCCCGAGGCTCTCACGGGAGCCTCCAGGGCCAGCGGGAGGGGCCGCTTAGGCCGCCCTCCCCGAGGGGCCGCTTCGGGCCAACCTCCAGCACGCCCTCACGAGGGGCCGCTTCGGGCCTCCCCGAGGGCAGGCCGCCAGGGCCAACGGGGGCGCCTAGGCCCCAGGGCCACCAACAAAATGGAAGGCCCCACTCGTGCTGGTCTTCCAAGGGGGGCGCTTCCGGTTGAGAAGGCGAAAACCCACCCCCACCCCCAGTCCCGACGCCCATCCCCGAACCCGCGATTCAAGGAGTCGGGACTGGGGCTGGGGGTGGGTTTTCGGGGTCCAAGATGGAGAAAACCCACCCCCACCCCCAGTCCCGACCCCTTGAATCGCCGGCTCGGGGATGGGCGTCGGGACTGGGGATGGGGGTGGGTTTTCGCCTTCTGACCTGTGGCGAAACAAGACCACGTGTAGGCAGAGAAGCCGGTCGGGCCGCGGCGGCGCGGGCTCGCCCCGAGGGCCGAGCGCGGCGGCGGCGGCCCGCCGCGGCCGCGCTCCCACACGCCTGCTCTGAGGCCGGCAGGCGCGCCCCCCCTCTCGGGTCGGGCGAAAGGGGGGGATAGCAAAGTGGGGGGGTGAGAATCAGCTCGCGTAGCTGATTTTCCCGGCGCCTCCCGGCGCCAGAGGCGGCCACGTATCGAGGAATGGGCCCCTCGGTGGGGCCGAAACCAGCTGCACGCAGCAGATATCGGAACCCCCCCTTTCCCAATGCCCCCCCTTTCGCCAGGCCCGACTCTCGGAGGACGAGGGGGAGCGGAGGCGCCAAAGTTCAGCGACGGGTCGAGCTCGAAGACCGGCGGGTCGGAGAGGGTGCGTTGCGACATCGCTGATGCCTCTTTGCCTTGCTCTGGCCCTCCTCCTCCTCCTCGTGCGGTGGGCGCCGGCCGTTCGCGCAGGCCCCGCAAGCCACGAACATCGCCAGCCGCGCATGAGTGCCGAGACGCATGTTAGATTCCCCCTCTCTCCGCACACGTGACTGTACGCACCCAACTCCGACCCCACCTGCTCGGCACCCTTCCGATCTCAGCCAAAAGCCCGCCGACACAATGAGAATCCTGGGCCATGAGAACTTACCGTGGGCAAGACGTGACAGGTGCACGCGAAACACCCTTCCTCCGAATGGCCACATGCTGGATGCTTCACTTGTGGCCCCGCTGGCACCGATAAACACATGTCAAATGCGCATGCGCCGGACGCATCTTAGATACCCCCCTCCGCACACGCTTTTTACACGTAGAGAGTCCGATACCATGAACCACTTGTGAACCCGTTGGCGCCGTGAACGCGCCAAAGCACATGACATATGGCATTGCGCCAGACCCATGTCGGATATCCCCCTCAACACGTATTTTACTGTTTGAAAAGTCCGACGCCCACACGTTGGATGCCCAAATTGTGGCCCCTTCGGTACCGAAAACACGTGAACCCCACTTGCACGTACTTAGCTTATTTTGCGGCTGATTGACTGCTCGTTACCTTATTCCGCAAGCGTGATCATTTTGCTTGCTCGCTCTTGGTTCTCCTGCGCGCCCTCAAAATTGTTCGTTTGCCCTGTTAAGCGTGTGCGATTGCGTTTGCTAGCCTAGTGCTTGGGTGAAATTGAGAACTCTTGAACACGAGAAGTCCACATGTGAATCCACAATGAGGCAACAACGGAACGAAGACAATGCCTATACCTGATGACAAGCACGTGCTTGCCACACTTCATTGGTGGTCAGAGCCGAACATGTCTCATGGTATCGCGCACGCGTGGCGCATGAGTCCAGTATTGATTTCAAACATGTGCAAAGTGCTGCAGAAGCAAATGGATGCAATCTGAAAACACCTTGCGTAACGCATCTTCGAGTAACACTGCGCGCAATGACATGAGCTCTGGATGCCGCTTTTGGGCGATCCACATGCCTCAAGCATTCTCAAATGAAGCAGGTGAAGCGCACGTCAAACGCACAATTGCACCCTGTAGAGAGAAGCTCCATCCTTCCAGCGAAAGTCAAGTTATACCTGCGGAAGAAGGCTCGCCGAGACACTCTCATCACGAATGCTCTCACTGACAGCTCGGCGAATCTCAACATTGATGTGTTGAGCCAGTGCTACCGGGTCCCTGATGTAAGACCCTGCAGCGATTCCGATGTGGAGATTCGGGCCATGCGAATTTACCAGGATAAACAGATTGATGTCAGCCGGAGGTGCACCATATCCATGAACATGGATGCGCCGCGAGACACCAAGCCCCGCGGAGGATGCTTCTGCGGTGGCGAAGTGCGTGCCGGCCCAGGACGCGTCCACATTGGAGAGGCAAAAACTGAATAGGCGAGAACTCGTTACGTAAAGCCATCGTATGACTGCCAGAGGAAGCAATGAGAGCAGCGCCTGTGCGTTCCGTGCAGCCAGGGCCTCCGCAGCACTCACCTGGGCCGCTGCTGCACTGGCCAGGGAGGCGGCCGTGGGGGGCGGCACGGCCACTGCGACGGTGGCAAAGTCGTTATTTGCGCGCATACGCTGAGGATCTGAGAGGTCAGGCATTTTGAAACTGACAGGGACAGCCATGCGGCCTGGAAGGGCTGCAGACGCACCATCCTCAGCACGGCAATAGGCATGCACCCCTTGGGAAATGGTGTGGATGAGTAGATCGTTGAGCTTGCCATAGCCACGTGCAGCACGCCGCAGGCCTGCGAGCTCGTAGGGGCCGAGGTGGAGAAGGCGGGTCCCTTTCTTTGGCTGCCCCTGGGCAAATACCGCCGACTTCGGCTCTGGCCGAATCAGACCGAGCAGTGGTGTAATCAGGTACCAGAGAATGAGAAAGAGCGACTTGAACCACACCACCAGCTTCTCAAAGCATCCCCGTCGAGAGAGTGCGGAGAGCTTCGGGCCACACCTCGAGAAGATGTCCTCGTTGGCCTCCGAAAGCGTCTTCCCCTGGAAGAGGCTTGCGCAAATGACGGCAAGGCCGACTCCGTCCTCGCCGTGAGAGAGAGGGGTTCTGAGGGGAACGGAGCTGTGCGTCCCGAGCCCATCTCTGAAGGCCCCGGGGCCCAGCTGGGGCCCCCCTGGGGAGCCGAGGGCGGCGAGCGAGAACCGTTCACCTCAGAACGCCTTTTCGACACGGCGGCGTCCACGAGCCCGTGGTGGATGTCCAGGACAAGCTTCCGCGGCGTGACGACGACCTGCCACAGCGGCCGCCCCGCCGTGCGGAAGGCGGGCATGTCCGCCAGCGCGGCGCACAGGCCCTCGGGCTCCTCCTCCACGCCCTCGCCGGAGGCCTTGGCCTCCTCGGCCCGCACGGCGACGATGTGGCTCGCCAGGTCGACGTCTGTCGGGCGGACGTCAAACGGGGACGGAGCCAGCGTGCTGGCAAGCGCACCGCCCCGGCGGGTGGCCCAGGAGTGGCCCAGGAGGGGCCCTGAACTGCCATCGACTTCGGGGGCACCTGTAGTCTGCGTGCGTGGGGGTATATATATATATATATATATAGATACATGAAGTCGGGGCCGGGGGTACCTGCAGTCCAGAGGGGCGGGTACCAGTAACTTAGTCGCGGGGGTGCACGGGCCTTTCGACGCCCCCGTTGAATTCCCCCCCCCCCGGCGCCGCCCGCCCGGGCTACTCTTTTCCACAGCCCAGCGTCTGTGATTACCTCGCTGAGGCGAGGGTGCTCTCGCAGGGCCAGGCCAGCGTTCGAGCGGACCTCGTCGAGGGAGAAGTCTGGGTCGCCGTCCTGGACCTTCGCGACCACCCTGATGGACTCGAGGGAGCTCCAGGGCTGCTGGGCTAGAAATATTCGCTCGAATGCAGTAGTTCCCTGCGGCGAGGTCGTATTCCACAGGCGCTGGATGCAGTAAGACATGAAGTATTCGAACAGGATCCGGCTAAAGGGATGCGCAAAAGGTCTCGGCTATTGCTCAAATCGCTTGAGCCGAGTACTTTACGGTTGCGTGCTTACAGAGTCGTGCGCTTGATGGCAGGTGCTTGCATTATTGCAGTGCAGCGCGCGTGCTTGCTTGCGTGTGCTTGACTGCGCGTGACTTCTTGCGCTTGACTGCGCCTGCCTGCAGATGCATGCTTACTAGGGACAGGGTAGCTTGCTTGCTTGCTTGATTGCACCTAGTTGCGTGCTTGCTTACTCTTGCTCGCTGGCGCTTGCTCGAGCGTGCCTGCTTGCGCTCGCTGGGTCGCTTGCTTACCTACGATATTGCGTGCGATTGGTTGCGCACGTCTGCAAAGGATTGAGCATACACTCGGCAGCGCATTCATTTCATTACGAGTAGCGGTCTGGAAACATGGACTAAGCTGGTCTCGAGCTGGCTGCACACGCTCACGGCAACAAATACACTCCTACAACTCCTTCTCGCCCTCCTCTTCCTCGACCTTCTGCTCATCGTCCTGCTTCTTCTTCTTATTATTATTGTTCCTCCTCATTTCCATCCATCCCTTCTCCTCCCTCTCCATCCTCTCCCTCCATCCCCCTCCCTCCTCCTATCCTGCTCCGATTCTTCCTCCTAGCAATTCCTTTCGGGCAAGGGGTCTCGAAACCTTGGGATCGACTCAGGCTCGTGCGAGGAGGCGGGCAGCGACAGTCGAGGCTGTCATTGCGAGAAATCGGGACGAGAGCCCAGCACCAACTACAACGTGGGGATCAGCTCGTGCGTGAAGGCAGGCGAGTGGCAGGAATGGGGACGAGAGAGCCATGCAGCGGTGCGAGAAGGCAGGCAAGCGCGAGGAAGGCGAGCAAGTGGGAGCCGACTCCATCAGCTTACATGCGGGGATCAGCTCGCGAGAGGCGTGCGAACAAGCGCATGCACACGTCCGCAGCTTCAGCGCTGGGGGCAGTTCGAACGAGAAACCCGAGAAGGTGAGTGGAAGGCAGACAGTGGCAGCGAACACTGCTATAGCGAGACGGCGCCGCGTGGGCAAATCATCCACTGCAATGCGGGAACCAGCGCAGATGAGAAGGGGCAGCGAGAGCCAATCATCAGCTACAACGCTGGGGTCCGCTCGTTCGCGAAATTGCATCGGGTGCAGTGGCTTGCACAACAGGTCGAGGGGCTAGCTGGAGGCACACGCCGTGAGCTATCCTCTCCCGATATACTGTTGGAGAAGGACGGCTCGATGTCCGGACCACCTCCTCTTCATAGCCCCACGTCGATTCGGCTTGGCCGTCTGACATCGAGGACGCCCGCTACAGTGGTGAACATCATCCTCCTCTTGTTGGAGAGGGCGACTAAACGTCCCAGGGCCGAGCGCAGTCGAGAGAGCACTCCAGTGTGGGAGCCCTCCCACATCGTGCTCCACCCATTCCATTGCCCATCAAACTCTGACCTACGTATTCGCAAAAGGGCACCAATTTAGCGGGGGGGGGTCAACTACACCGTCGGTTTCCAAGTGGCCATTCTCCGCGACGAGACCAGCACACCCATGGCCTAGGCCCCCTGAAGCTAGATGAGGATTTCGCTGCACAGCCATCAACTTTGAAGATCTCCCTGGGAGTAGGCGCTCTCTCGCGGATTACGTGTTCCATGCATTATCCTTCCCCTCCTCCTCTCCTCCTCATCCATCCCTCCCTCCTATCCGCCACCGTGCCTCTGGCACGAAGTGGAGTGCCCCCAAGGCTCACAGCTGTGCTGCTTCTGCAGCCAGGATGGAAATTCGTTAAGGGCCCAGACCCCCAATTCCACAGGGTCCAGCTATTCCCCCCTTCAACAACTCTCCCTTCTCCGCCTGCAGCCCTCCTCCGTCGCCCCCCCCTCCTCCTCCTCCTCCTCCTGCCCCCGTCCCTCCTCGCCTCTCTCCCTCCTCCTCCCCCTCCTCCCCCTCCTCCTCCTGCCCCCCCTCCTCCTCCTGCCCCCGTCCCTCCCTCCCCCCCCTCTCCCGACGCCGCTCCGGTGCAGGGCGCTCGGACATTTGCCCTGGGCCGCGCGTTGGGGGCGGGGGGGGGGGGGGGGGGGGGGGCAGCCGACGACGCGCGGTCCGCACGCGGTTGCAGTGGCGGCCGCTCGTCCCTGCTGCAGTCCCCCCGCTCCGCTCGCCCCATTGGCGGAGGTTGCTCGTCGCCTCCGTCGTCGGACAGTCCACAAAAAGATCCGGCACGAGAAACTTGGTGGGCCTGTTTTCCACCACCACCATCACCACAAGTAGGAGGGGGAGGGGGTCCTCCTCCTCCTCTTCTTCTTCTTCCTCCTCCTCCTCCTCCTCATCCTCCACCTCCTTCTCCCCTCCAACTTATGGTGGTGGTGGTGGAAAACAGGCCCATCAAAACTGGTCCCCTGGAAATCGTCGAGAGGGAGGGATCGGAGCGGACGTAGGGGGAAGGGCGCAAAAGGGAAGGCAGGCGAACCAAACTGCATGCATCCGGCTCTCCCGGCGCCTCCTGGCGCCTCCTGGCACCTCCTGGCCCCTCCTAACGCCAGAGGCGGCCTATGCGTCGGGGAGCGGGGCCGAAACCAACTGCTCGCAGCAGACCTCGTCAACCCCCCATGTCCGAATCCCCCCCCAATTTCGCCCGAACTGGAAGGCTTAGGAGGCAACTTCTGGAAGTAAAGCCAGCTATTGAGCCCAAGATTGCGCCATGTTCGGCGGGATCAGTCGAAAATGAGCGAGCGGGACTACGGAAGGTCCGTGTTGTGCTGACTTCGACTTTGGTTTCTGACACCGCGGGGGTCGTTCAACCTTGAACGGTCGGCCATTTCCGAAGCATCAGATCCTTCAACATCGACCGATGCTCGGTCGCCGGCGGCGTTCAACGATAAACGCTAGCGGCGGGGTCGCCGTCGGTCGACACGACGCGAACCTACCGGCAGGACCAAGCGGGTTTGTAACCACGGATATGCCAGCGCCGAGGCTGAAACTAACCTCCCACGAGCTGCATCCTATGAGAAGGGGGCCCCAGACCACGGGCGGCGGCGTCGCCGCCTTCTTCACCGCTCCGAACTGCGAGAAGAACTCCTTGACCGCCTCCTCCGTGGTCGGCGGGAGGCACGAGACGTAGACAACCTGCGGCTCCAGCGGGGCGTCGGCGGCGGCCAGGGGGACTCCCCCAGTGGTCGTCGTCGTCGTCGTCGTCGTCGTCGTCGTCGTCGTCGTCGTCGTCGTCAGGGTCGTAGCCAGTCGACCGCCGTCCGTCTTCCGTCGCCGCCGTCGCCGTCGCTGTTGCCGTCGCAAGCGTCATCGTCGTCGTTCGACGACGTCGTCGTCGTCGTCGGCGTCGTTGCCGTCGCCGTCGCGTCGCCGTCGCCATCGCCGTCGGCCGGTCGCCGTCGTCATCGTCGTCGTCGTCGTCGTGGTCGTCGACGTCGTGGTCGTCGTCGTCGGCGTCGCTGCCGTCGCCGTCGCGTCGCCGTCGCCATCGCCGTCGCCAGTCGCCGTCCTCGTCGTCGTCGTCGTGATCGTCGTCGTCGTGGTCATCGTCGTCGTTATCGGCGCAAGCGCCAGCGCGTCGTCGTCTCGCCGTCGCCGTCGTCGTCTTCGCCGCCTCCGCCATCGTAGTCGTCGTCGTCGTCGTCGTCGTCGTCGTCGTCGTCGTCGTCGTCGTCGTCGTCGTCGTCGTGGCCATCGTCGTCGTCGTCGTCGTCGCCGCCGTCGTCGTCGTCGTCGTCGTTGCCGTCGTCGTCGTCGTCGTTTTCGCCGTCGTCGTCGTCGTCGTCGTCCGTCCGAGGTCACCCGTCACCGTCGTCCGTCGTCGTCGTCCGCAGTGCGTCGGCCGTCGTCTGCCGTCCGTTCATCGTCCGTCGTCCGCCGTCCGTCGCCGTCACCGTCGCCGTCGCCGTCGTCGTCGTCGTCGTCGCCGTCGCCGTCGCCGTCGGCGCCGTCGCCGTCGCCGTTGTCGTCGTCGCCGTCGACGTCGCCGTCGTCGCCGTCGACGTCGCCGTCGTCGCCGTCGCCGTTGTCGTCGTCGCTGTCGACGGCCGCTCCAGACCGCTCCGGAAGGATCGTCGTCGGCCGTCGTGCGTCGTGCGTCGGTCGGTCGGTCGGTCCATCGGCCGTCGCGCGTCGCCGGACGGTCGATCCGTCGGTCTGTCGTCGGCCCGTCGTAGACGATCGTAGTCGATCGTCGTCCGCCGTCGTCGTCGTCCGTCGCGGTCCTCTGGCGTCCCGCGCACTTCGTTACCGTGTTCGTCCGACTCCCGTGCTGCGTCGCCCCCCGAGCAGCCCTTGCTGGCCTCAAGAAGCCCCCCGAGCGAGTAGCCCCCGCTGGCCTCCACGGGCATCC